TGTTGATCTCAGTGTCTGTGCTACTTTTGTTATGTTCAGGAAGCAGTCTCCAGTACCACTTTCTCTTCTAAGAGGTTCAGTGTGGCTGGATTTATGTTGATCCATTTGGACTTGAGTTTTGTGTGTGGTGATAGACATAGGTCTATCTGCAATCTTCTACACACCATCATCCAGTTGTGCCAGCACCATTTATTGAAGACGCTTCCTTCCATTGAATACTTTTAGCTGTTTTGTCAAAAACCCGGAGTTCGTAGGTGTGTGGGTTAATATGAGGATTTTTGATTGGATTCCATTGGTCTACCTATTTAATTTTGTGCCAATACCAAGCTGTTTTCAGGACTATAACTCTATAGTAGAGCTTGAATGAAATCAGGGATGGTGATGCCTCCTAAGTTCCTTTATTGTACAGGGTTGTTTTGGCTATCCTGGGTCTTTTGTTTTTCCATATAAAGTTGATTATTATCATTTCAAGGTCAGTGAAGAATTGTGCTTGGATTTTGATGGGGATTGCATTGAATCTGTATATTGCTTTTGGCAAGATTGCCATTTTTATTATGTTTATCCTACCTATCCAAGAGCATGGGAGATCTTTCCATTTTCTGGTATCTTCTTTAATTTCTTTCTTTAAAGACACAAAGTTCTTGCTATATAGGTCTTTCACTTGTTTGGTTAGTGTTACCCCAACATACTTTATGTTCTTTGTGGATATTGTAAAAGGTGATGTTTCTCTGATTTCTTTCTCAGCCACTTTATTATCTGTATGTAGTATGGCTAGTGAATTTTTTGAGTTTATCTTGTATCCTGCTAGTTTGCTGAAGGTGTTCATCAGCTGTAGGAGTTCCCTGGTGGAGTTTTTTGGGTCACTTATGTAAACTATCATATCATCTGCAAATAGTGAAAGTTTGATTTCTTCCTTTCCAGTTTGTATCCCCTTGCTCTCCTTTTGTTGTCTTATAGCTTTAGCTAGAACTTCAAGTACAATATTGAAGAGATATGGAGAGAGTGGACAGCCTTGTTTTGCTCGTGATTTTAAAGGAATTGCCTTAAGCTTCTTCTATTCAGTTTGATGTTGGCAATTGGTTTACTGTATATTGCTTTTTTAATGTTTAAGTATGTTCCTGTTATCCCTGATCTCTCCAAGACCTTTATCATGAATGGGTGTTGGATTTTGTCAAAGGCTTTTTCAGCATCTAGTTATATGATCATGTGGTTTTTCTTTTTCAGTTTGTTTATATGGTGGATCACATTGATAGATTTCCATATGTTGAACCATCCCTGCATCTCTGGGATGAAGCCTACTTGGTCATGGTGGGTGATTTCTCACATGTTTTCTTGGATTCTATTTGTTACTTTTTATTAAGTATTTTTGCATCAATGTTCATGAGGGATATTGGTCTATAGTTCTCTTTCTTAGTTATGTCTTTGTGTGGCTTGGGTACAAAGGTAATTGTTGTCTCATAAAAAGGGTTTGGTAATGAACTTTCTGCTTCTATTGTGTGAAAAATTTGAGGAGTATTGGTCTTAGTTCTTCTTTGAATTTCTGGTAGAATTCTACACTGAAGCCATCTGGCCTTGGGCTTTTTTTTGGATGGGAGGCTTTTGATGAATGCTTCTATTTAATTAAGGCTTATAGGTCTATTTAAGTTGCTCATCTGTTCTTGATTTAATTTTGGTTAGTGATAGTTATCCAGCAGTTTGTACATTTCCTTCAAATTTTTGAATTTTGTAGAGTACAGGCTTTCAAAATATGATCTGAAAATTGGATTTCCTCAGTGTCCATTGTTATGTCCCCCTTTTCATTTCTGATTTTGTTGATTTGCATGTTCTTTTTCTCTGCTTTTTCATTAGTTTGGATAAAGGTTTGTCTATTTTGTTGATTTTCTGGAAAAACCAACTCTTTGTTACATTGATTCTTTGTATTGTTTTCCTAGTTTCTACTTTATTGGCTTCAGCCCTCAAATTGATTATTTCCTGGCATCTACCCCTCCTGGGTAAGTTTGCTTCTTTTTGTTCTAAGGCTTTCAGCTGTGCTGTTAATTCTCTAATGTGACTATCCTCCATTTTCTTCATATAGGTACTTCGTGCAATGAACTTTCCTCATAGCACTGCTTCCAAAGTGTTTCAAAATTTTGGGTATATTGTGTCTTCAGTCTCTTTGAATTCTAGGAAATCTTTAATTTCTTTCTTTATTTCTTCCATGACCCAGGAATGGTGCAGTTGTACATTGTTCAGTTTCCATGAGTTTATAGGGTTTCTGCGATTTGTGTTGTTGTTGAATTCCAACTGTAAGGCATGGTGGTCTGATAAGATACAGGGAACTATTCCAATTTTTTTAAATCTGTCTAGGTTTTTTATGTTGCCTAGTATGTAGTTGGTTTTAGAGAAGGTTCTGTGTGGAGCTGAGAAGGTATATTCTTTTGTGTTTGGATGGAATGTCCTATAGATATCTTTCAACCCCAATTTGGACACAACTTCTGTTAGTTCTTTTGTTTCTTTGTTAAGTTTCTGTCTGGTGGTCCTATCTAGTGGTGAGAGTGGGTGTTGAAGTCTCCCACTGTGAGTGTTTGAGGTTTCATGTGAGCTTTGAATTTTAGTAGGGTTTCTTTTATGAATTTGCCTGCCTTTGTATTTGGGGCATAGATGTTCAGAATTGAGACTTTGTACTGATGGACCTCTCATGTGATGAAAATGAAATGACCTTCTTCATCTCTTTTGATTGATTTTGGTTTGAAGTCTAACTTGTTAAATATTAGGATAGTTATGCCTGCTTGCTTCTTGGGTCCATTTGATTGGAAGATCTTTTCTCAACCCTTTACTCTGAGGTAATGTCTGTCTTTGAAGGTTAGATGTGTTTCTTGATTCTGTCCTCATATCCATTCTATTAGTTTGAGTCTTTTTATAGGAGAGTTAAGACCATTAATGTTGAGGGAAAGTAAGGACCATTGATTGTTAATTCTTGTTTGTTTTAGATTTGTTGTTTTTGGTGGTATTGTGAGTATATTTACCCTGCTTTTTCTTTTAGGTTCTGGTGAAGTGGGCTTATCTATTGCCTATGTCTTTGTGAGTGTAGTTAACTTTCTTGAGTTGGAGTTCTCATTTCAGAACTTTCTGTAGGGCTGCATTTGTGAATATGTATTGTGAAACTCTGGCTTTGTCACTGAATATCTTTTCTCCATCTATAGTGATTGAGAGTTTTGTTGGGTATAGTATGGCATCTGTCAGTTGTTAGTGTTTGTAGAACATCTATCCAGGACCTTCTGGCCTTGAGAGTTTTCATGGATAAATCAGGTGTAATTTTCATATGTCTGTCTTTATATGTTACCTGGCCTTTTCCCTTTGCTGCCCTTAATATTCTTTCTTTATTCTGCATGGTAAGTGTTTTGATTATTATTTGGCAAGGTTTGTTTGTTTGTTTGTTTTTTGGTCTAGTCTATTTGGTGTTCAGTATGCTTCTTAGGCATGTCCTTCTTTAGATTGGGAAAGCTTTCTTCAATGATTTTGTTGAATATGTTTTCTGCACCCTTGACTTGGGCTTGCTTGCCTTCTTTGCCTATTATTCTTAGGTTTGGCCTTTTCATGGTGTCCCACATTTCCTGGATGTTTTGTGTTAAGGATCTGTTGGATTTAAGATTTTCTTTGGTCAATGAATCTATTTCCTCTAGTTTGTCTTCAGTGCCTGAGATTCTCTTAGATTTTTTTGTATTCTGTTGGTTATACTTGCATCTGTAGTTCCTGATCATTTACTAAGTTTTCTGTTTGTGTTTTCTTTATTGTCTCTATTTCAGTTTTCAGGTCTTGTACTGTTTGAATTGTTTCCTTCATCTGTTTGATTGTCCCCCCCCCCCTTGGCTTTTCTTAAGAGATGTGTTTATTTTTTTGCATTTTTTGCTTAGCTTTTTCCTCTGTTTCTTTCAGTTTTTTGTTTGTTTGTTTTTATTCTATTTCTTTAAGGGATTTTCTCATATCATCTTTGAGGGCGTCTATCATTTTTATGAAGTTATTTTTTAAGTTGTTCTCTTCTGCTTCATCTACATTGGTGTGTGCAGGTCTAGTTGGTATAGAGTCCCTAGATTCTGCTGGTGTTATACTAGTATTTGTATTGTTGGGTGTTTCCTTGTATTGCTGTGTTCCCACCTGCTTTTTCCAGTGGGTGAAGGTGGAGTCTCTCTCTCTCTCTCTCTCTCTCTCTCTCTCTCTCTCTGTCCTGCTCTCCTGATGGTTGTAGTTGGGTCTGCAACTCTGCATGATCCAAGCTCTCTTGGAGGTCTCTCCTCAGGCAGAGGGCAGGCAATGGGGTACAAAGATCAGGCAAGTGTGGCCTCAAGGTAGTCCTGCATGGATAGGCAGGTCCAGTGTGCTCAGAGAAGACCTAGGAAGTTCCACAGAAGTGGAGGGGTTGTTGGACCTGTACTCTGGCCCAATGCTCACCCGGAGCAGTGGGTCAGCAGGTAGGCTAGCTTAGGTATTTCTTACTGAATTCTTTACCTATAAAAATGGGTATAAAACCTTTACAGGGTTCTTGTTACGTTAAGTACTTGCAGCACATTCGAGACTAGCTAGTTGCATAGTACTCAAGAGATTCTCGTGTGGGGCTGGAGAGTTGGCTGGAGAGAAGAGTGCATGCTTTTCTTCTAGAGGACCTGAGATCAGTGTCTAGCATTCATGTAGAATAGCTCACAGCTGTCTGTAAACGCCAGCTCTGAGGGATCCAATGCCGTTTTCTGGCCTCCTGGGCACTGTCCTCATGTGTACAAAACCATACACAGACACACGTGTATATATATACATATTTAAAAAGTAAAAATGAATCTTCAAAAGAGATTTTAGCTGTTATTGTTGGTCTGTGAGTTACTCCCAAATAGAGGGCAGAGAAACAGATGGCCTCTGGGCTCCTCACATTTGCTCCCAGATCCTTAACTTAAGGAAGTTACTGTCAACTGCCCACATTGTTTAGGTCTCATACTTGTTCAGTGACCTTCACACCAGGTTTTCTTTCCTAGGCTGCTCAGATTCTACTGTTGATATGGTCAGCGTCTCAGGAAGTCCTCTCTGGCTTCGGCCTTCCAACATACAGACACATATCCTATCTATTCAATGGAAGAAGACACAACTGGGCTCACCTGAAAAAAGTAATAAGATCCTGATCCGGTATACTTGTAACAAAACACTACAGTATTATTCTAATGGTTTCAATAAAACATATGACTTTAATGCCTCAGATCTTGCTCTTGGCATCAAGTCAGCTAAGCTGCAAGACAGTGGTCATTACGAGCTGGAGATGACCAATAAGATTGGAATCATTTGCAGTAAGAAATTCCAGATTCTTATAGTTGGTGAGTTTTTAGCCCTGCTCACTCTGTCCCTTTGATTCTTGTAGGACTTGTATTTCTAGAACCCTCTAATCAGAATCTTTGCTTCCAGATCGCGTTGAGAAGCCTCATCTGCAGGGCCAGTGGAAGATCGGGACTAATGGGATGTGTCAGCTGTCTCTGGACTGTTTGGTGCCCAGGGATGACAATGTGAGCTATGCTTTGTACAGAGGGAGCAAGCTGATTTCAAAACTAAGGAACTTGACCCACCTGGAGAGCCAGACTGAGGCCAGCAGTCTGCACACATATACCTGCAATGTTAGCAACCAAGTCAGCTGGGAAGTTGACACTCTGAACATCACCCAGGGCTGTCAGAGTGTCTCTCAAAGTAAGTGGGGCACTTTTGCTCACAGCAGAGACTCCACAACCAGACTCACAAGAGATCCAGGTATCAGATCACATAGCCTTCTGGTCCAGTGCCTTGGACCCTTCCTAAGCAGACACTGGGCCTCTCAGAAGCACAGGTCTATCTTAGCCTGAGAGGATTTATATCTTTCTCTTCTCCTGGAAATAGTAGCGTAGTTTTCCCTCCTCACAGGGAATACCAAGTTGTTTAGTGACTTTCATGATGCTATGAACATTAACTTCCTAATTTGAGAAGTTAGAGACCCAACTTCTCCTGAGTGATGTCTTACCTCAAGCTGGAGAGTTTTCTGGGAGGTAACACTGTACCTGAGTGATGTCTTACCTAAAAATGGAGAGTTTTCTGGGAGGTAATAACAGTTTACCACAGTAACCTTGTCAGTGGGGGCAGCAGGAAAATGACAAGGAACCTAGTACAGTTCTGCATTTATTGTTTATCCTGAGTTACCTGAGTTAAGGGTCTATACTTTTTATTAGACAAAGGCTTAATGTGATGCCAGCATGGGACCAGGCAAACCAACCCAGTTCAAACCCAACCCAACACAACCCACCCAATCCTACACAACCCACCCAATCCAACCTACTTATCAACCCAGCCCTAACAACCCACCCAATCCTACACAACACACCCAACCCAACCCAACCCATCCAACCCTATAAAACTCACCCAACCCATTTACCTACCCAACCTAACCCAACCCATCCAACCCAATGTAACCCAACCCAACTAACCCAACCTATCCAACCCAACTCAACCTAACCCAACCCTACACAACCTACCCCAAACACCTACCCCAACCCGACCCAACCAACTCAACCCAACCCTCAGAGTCTCTCTTCTTAAATTTGCAGCAAAAATTATGTGCAACTCCTTACTTTGGGCTCAGGTTTCCACAGTGCTAAGTTTAGGTTCATGTAGTGTATTTTCTTATCTTTGGATTAGGCACATCTCTTTTTTCAGAAGAAGAAAACACTAAAAAAACAGAAGGAATAGGTCCTCAGAACCTTTCCCCAGAGCATCCCTTGGGTTCTCACTGGACTAGAACTGAAGTATTCCATGTCCCATGTTTGGGCCTGAACTCAGAATATGGGTCTACTGCCATCCATGTTAGGCAAAAGGAACACTGACTGGCATTGCTGTGGTTGGAGCTACCAAGGAAGTATACCCCCACCATGACAGTGTTCTGTGCCAGTACCCCATCCAGTGTCTCAGAGCCTCCTTACTTCAGTGGGAGATCCCAAATGAGTGCAGTTTCCCAAATCCTGACAAACAGCCCTAGCAAAATGCCTCCAGAAACTCACCTCCAGAAGCTCAATACTGACGAAATAGGGAGACATTCCAGTAGGAATCCGGAGCTAGGCATCCCTCTGTGGAACTACAGATCTGAACTGGACTAACTCAAAGCATAGTTACTGAAAGAGAAAAAGAAGTATAAACTACATTATATAAAGAATCTCTCTGCCAAGGGGTTTGCTTAACAATATTATTAGGTGGGCTGGAGAGATAGCTCAATGGTCAAGAACACTGGTTGCTCTTCCAGAGGTCCTGAGTTCAATTCCCAGCAACCACATGGTAGCTCACAACCATCTATAATGAGACCTAGTGCCCACTTCTGGTCTGTAGCCATATATACAGACAGAACACTGTATACATAATAAATAAATAAATAAATAAATAAATCTTAAAAAAAAAAAGTGTTAGACAGAGATGACATTGGTCGCTTAGATCTGCCCATTCAGCTCTTTCTTTGTATCAAAAAGAATTTGTCCATGCTGAGAGGGTTAGGGAAGATGGCCCCTGGCCAACAGCTTCTCCTTAAACCCTCTGCCTTTTACCAGGAAAAACACAGTTCTGCCCGGCAGCCAGGGTGACTATGGTTGACAACTGCCCCGGAAAAGCAGCTCTGGCCCATCTTGAGATAACTGAAAATATCTTTTTATTGTAAATGTCCCCAAACAACCAAACTTGCAGCTTCTGTCTTTGTAAAACATGTTTAACTGTTTAAAGTTTCTGCAACCCTAAAAGAGACTTATGGATAAAAGCCCATGTAAAACTGCAATGTTATAGTGAGAATCTATGTAAAATGTAAAGAATCTGTTTATGGCCAGATTTCCCTTGTGCATTAGCCAGAACCATCATTGCATCATCATTTATTTACTGTGATCTCAGGCAGATACCTGTAATGTGGAATTCTTTACCGGTCTCTTCTTATTGGTTGGATTATATAACAGGGCTCATGTGTAACACAAATGTAGGAGCTCTAATGAGGAAGAGCAGTGAGAGGAGAAGAACCAGGAAGGAGAAATGGAAAGCTTACAGTAGTAGGTGTGTGGTAAATATTTGCTGAGGTAAAAGCAGTAGATAGATGTTATAGTTGCTATGCAAGATGTTTTACAGGCACCAGATCATGCAATTAGCCCCTAGATGGAGAAAACATTATCTCCCCCTTTTCAGGTAAGAAAAATGCCTCAGAGAGGTAAATAAGTAGCACAGGTCCTCTGGATCAGTCTGTCACCCAGCTGAGGTAGGACAACAAGATGATGAATTTATAGGATGTGAGAAGCCTGGCCACATGAGAGAAAACAGTGGTTTTGGGGGATAGTCTTGAAGCTAATGTATGGGGACATGAGGGCTCAGTCCTCCTTCCTTCTGTGTCCTTCAGAATACAGAGTTTTGCCCTTTGTGACAATCATCGTTATTTTAGTCATATTATTTCTCGGTGCCGTCACTTGCTTCTGTGTGTGGGATAAGAAGAGAAAGTCACGTAAGTAGAAGACCCCTAATGGAGTGCTGTTGCATGAGGCATCAGGTTCAGTGGGTTGTCCCTGAGTCCATGGGATATACTCTAGGCAGCTTCTCCATTTCTGGGAGAGATGTTGGGATATTTGTGAATATGGGTGGAGGGAGGGCAGCTAATGACTGCAACCTCCTGTTCACATTAGCTGTGGACCATATTTATAGCATGGTTCCCAATGTACTGCTTTATCTAAGGTGCTGCCTTTGGTTGGTGACTGCCCAGCTTGGTGGAAGATGTTTGTCAAGGGATGGGTAATTGCTCTCTACTGTGCTCTTTAGCAAGAACACCAATCTGCCTGTTTTCTGGAGCCACTCTTGAGATCTTTACCATCCTTGGTAGAGATGTGAAGTAGAAGCCTGGACAGGAAACTTTCCTAATGTTTCTGATTCTAGTCCTTATTTTCTTCCTCACACAGAGCCAAGTCCTAAGAATTTTTCAACAATATATGAACATGTCAAGGATCCACAAGGCAGGAGGAATCAAGTAGGACATTCTGGGGCCCCAGGATCTCCTTCAGCTGTCCAGGAAAATGGAAGGGGACAAACAGAATCAAACAGGTGTCATTTTGAGGTGAACTTCAGCCCTCTTCCATCTTTCTTTTTCCTCTACCAGTTTCCTGGCTCTGCCCAAAGAGGGAAAGGAGGAAAGAAATGCAGCAGAGAAAATGTAAATGAGTCAGAAGGGGCATCATGGTGCTGAACTTAGCAGAAATCAACAGTAGAGGGCAGAATGTGTCAACCACTGCCTTCCCAGGCTGCACTCTGGTGTCATCCTCATTTCAGCTCAGTCTTACCAGCTGGGCTCGATGCCAGGATGAGTGCAACCTTCATATATTTATTGCCTAACCATATCCCCAAGATTAGAAGATAGGAGCTCCCTGTTGTGGTTCTCTTAAGCCCTGCCTAGGCTGGGGAGCATGAGCAGCCTGAGTATAAGAGTTTTGGAGGTTCCTCAGTGGTCTGTGTTCAAAGCCTGTTGGGTAGAAGCCAAGCATGGCTAAAGTAGCAGAGAAGGCAACTGGTTTGGTACAGAGTAGGCAAACCTGAAGGCTCAACTGTGAATGAAGACCTCTGTCTTCCCATCTCTCTTAGGGACCTAGATCTTCTTGTCAGCTAGGAATATAGAGAAGAAGGAAACTTCAGAGGGCCTACAGGTGCTCTCAGTTCTATATTGCAGGATGTGGTGATAGGCTTAGGGGAAAGGTGCAGAGGAGTCAGGGAGTGCTGGTAGAAAGGGTTGTAGGAGTGGAGGGGAAGGGCTTTCCTCCCACCCCCATATCCACTGCTAGGCAGAGAGAGACACGTGGGCTCTTCTGTCACAGAACGGCTTCTTTCAAGTCTGTTTCTTAGCTGGCTGTGGGCAGCCCTGTTTACCTTATTCCTGGTCCTGACAGTGGAATACTGCCTGGAAACTAAAGAAGATGGATTTCTCCACTGCTAGTAGGTCTTAGGGCACATATACCTACCTGTAGCCACCTGATGCCCATAAATTTATAAAAAAAAATAGCCTCCTCATTACCCCAGATGAAGATGATATTAAACTAGGTAAAATAAGCCATAGGAAGAGATGTTATTTGGAACAGAAGAGGCCCCTGGGGGCTGTTGACCACCTTTTGACATGAGATTCCTCCTTGCCTGACCTCAGCTGGCCTGATATCTTTTCACTGTCTCTGGGTTTTGGCTTGAAAGCCTCCATCCCAAGTTTCATGTGCTTTCCCTTTAGGTCGCAGATTCAGCCTTTCTGGAGACAAGTCTGGGCAGAAGAGAAAAATAACAAATTCCTATTGACTTTCTAGCTGCTAAGAATGGTTGATGTTTTTCTGCTTCTCAGCCTCTTACTTCTGGAGGGCTACTGAACTCTCGTGGCCTTCCTGACCCCCTGAGAGCCCTGCTTGGCACTGTGTTCTTGGAGTCATGCAGGGTGGGATGCATCTATCTCTAATTGCTTGTGGAGCAGGCATCAGAGGAGAGAAAGATGGAAGGACTGTGTGCTTTCTGACATTGTGACCAGTCCCTCACTCAGCACTGTTACTTCTCTGGGGATGGATTGAGGCCCAGGCCATGCTGACCATGAAGCCTGGATCTAGAGATGGCCCTTAAGATGGTCACATCTTTAAAATGTTTGGGCCCTCTGAATTTCAATGTCTTGAACACCCTAGAGCTCTACCCACTGTCAGTGGTTGTGTTGGCATAAAAGCCAGCAAAGTTAAGAAGGGAGTTTTACATTATTAAAGGGAAGAAAGAGACAGGGAACCTGTCAGGTTGTTGCCTCTTGGGTGGTTCCTTGCTGCTGGTCTACTGTAAGTCATTCTTCTTCCCATCTCTCCTTATTCTGATGTTTGATGATGAGGCTTTCCCAGTTTGCACTTTCCTACTCCTGAAAACCCCTTCTTTGTGATGTCTCTCACTGCTTAACCTAAGCCAAGACAGAGACTATTACATGCCACTTCATTCTTCTGTGCAGGAGCAGATGCCGGAGCAGAAAACCTCTGGAGATGGAAGTACCATCTACTCTATGATCCAGTACAAGGTACTCCTCTGGCTTATCTAATCTATCCCGTTCTAGTATATGGGACTTCCCAAGCCTCATTTAAAATACACCATTGAAGGAAGAATGGGGCATTGGTGTTCCTTGAGGACTGAAAGACAGCCACAGGTGCTCTAAAATATTGTTTGGAATGATCAGCATGTTCAGAGTATCTTGGCAGTGGTTTTCATTTGTTCACATCTAGAAGAAGTGTAGACCAGGTTGTCTATAGGAGAACAAACTTCACTATGGGGATTCATCTTATGTTTTTCCTCTGATTCTAAGAACAGGAGTCCTTGTGTTGATTATTATAATGGTACCATTTAGCTCTATTAAGGAAAGAATAGATATGTATAGATATGTATTGGTCTTACAAAATCTTATTTAAACTTAATTATGACCATTTTTTAAATAAATCTCACTTGACAGTCTTAGGAAGTTTACAAAAGAGGAAACCAAGATTCATATAAACTGCTGTGTTCAAGGCCACATAGCTGAGCAGTAATACAGTTGAACCAAACAGTTTCTCAATTTCCGTCCTACTTTTCCTGCCATGCCTCTAACACCAGATGTGAAAGTTCATGCATGAATGACTAAGATATTCTGTAATATTGGCAGATAATAGAACTTAATTGATAACCAGAGTCAGGTGTTCTCTTCCAAGGGAAAATGCTTGGTGATGGGCAGCTGTGAAAATTTCCCAATAAAAACATTTTCTTCCTGTCTTCTCTTCTCCTCTCCTCTTCTCTCCCGTTCACTTTCTGAGGACCAAATCCAGGAACAGCAACACCCTCAGGTTGTTGGCAAAGTTGTATCACAAAGAAATCTATCCCGAGAGTGACTGATATCTGCCAGCTCACTGGTTTTAGCCACATTAGCTTTGACAGAAAAATTTGAATAAACCCAAGGAAGAACTCCTCTTGATCAGGATGCTAAGTGAAAATGAGATTCCTCCTCTGGATTATCTTGCCATGGAGATGGTTGTCCACCCTGATGAATGTGCATTTCAGGTCTAGAGAAGAAGATTTATCAAATGGAGCCATTGAACTCCCTGTTAAAATGAACTCCCTGGAAATTTTTGGGCTTGAATTCTCCATCTATTGTGTACTGTATTTCTCTTCTTCCTTCTTGTTCTTCCTTCCTTCCTCCCTTTGTTTCCCCCCTTTCCTTCCTCCTCTTCTTTATTCTTCTTCTTTCTTCTTCTGAATCTGTAACTTTGTCTGTGGGAAAAGAAGCATTCCTATCTTTTTAGGAATAATATAAGGGTCAGTAAGAAAGAATATAGATAAATAAGTGAACAACAAATAGTGGTAATTGTTACTAACAGTAAGGAACTAATTAATGTCAGGCTCTACCTCCCAGGTACTCCAGGCTTCTTCTCATTGATAAACAGAACTTACATTTAGTCAGAGTTGAGGCAAAGGGTTATGCTGGATCTTTGTTCATGAAATACTTTTTTATTTTTTACTCATTAGCCTTCTGATCCCACACCACAAGAAAAATGTACACTTTATGCAGTAATCCAGCCTTCCAGGAAGGTGAGAAATCTATTTCTCTGGAGGGTTTTGTTGAATGGATGTGTGGCTTTGCTCTGTGTACTGTGCTGTGTTTGCAGGTGTGTGCTTGCAGAACATGTGTGTATCTGTCTTCCGTTCTGTGCAACTGAGTAGCTTCCGTTAAATGATTATATCTCATTGCTAAGAGCCTAACAAGGAGGAATGCCTTTCCAGTTCTGCCTGTGAAAAAAAGAACAGTTCTGAGATGAAGGGAACAGTGGATTGTAGGAGTTTCTTAGACTTTTTGTGGTAGGTAAAGGGCAGGGATATAAGTCAGGACTGAAGGATCTCAGGACCATTCCTAGGACAGCTGAGGTTATGGTGAGAGCTACTGGAGGGGTTTCCAAGGTAGGGGCTTGCTGCCTGCAGCTGAAGACATGAACTAGGAAGGCGAGTATTGACATTCAAAGACGGAAGGTTCTAGCCAGTGCTACAAATGGAGGCTACTGGACTGAAGCAGCCATCATGACCAGTTCCAATCTCAGCTCTCAACATGTCTGGAAACAGACAGGTGTGTGTCCTGGGGCTCATGCCTATCCATTTAATGGTGGTGGGAAGGAATAGGGAGAATGGCACTCTCATGGCTGGAATTACAGAGTAGAGCTACAAGTTATAACTCAGCAGGATGGGGAGATGGAATTCCACAAAACTGGGAGTCTGTGCAGGTCAGGGGCTGTGGTTTAAAGGGGTTTAGGATAAGTTTGCAGATTTCATTCATTTTCTTCAAAACCAATCAGTCATCCAACCCACTTGAATTTCACTGTGAGACGTGTTTATTTTTTAATTACATGCTGCAATATCAGCACATATAAATGTTCATAGGTACTATGACATGGTTTGGTATTATGTTATAAAAACCTTGAGGGTAAGAGGGAGAAAGGAAAGGAGGGATGGAAGGAGGGAGGGAGTGGGAACTGGGATTGACATGTAAAATAAAAAATAAATAATTAAAAAAATCTTGGGGATGAAGAGATTGGCCAAGTTTGTAAGAGTACTGCTGTACAAGCCCAATGTCCCAAGTTTGAGCTCCAGAACCCATGGTGGAAAGAAAGAACTGATTCCTGAAAAGTTATCCTCTGACCTCTACATGAACACTGCTGCACACATGCCCATTCATACACCATACCCACAATAATAAAATATTCTACATACAACTGAAAGTATAACTAATGATTCATACTCCCTTAACCTAGAGGCAGGAGGGAGGGCCTAGTCCCTACTCCAAATGACTTCACAGATTTTGTTGATCCCTCCTGGAAGGCATCACCTCCCTGTGGAGTGTGTATGTGTGGGAATGGGCTGGGAGGGTGATCAGGGGGCATGGGATGGAGGGAGGGAGAGTGTAAGGGAAGGAGAGAGAAGGACCTGGGATCCATATGTAAAATAAGAAAAAAAGAGAAACATAAAAAAATAAAACCACTGTGTTTGCTATATGTGCTATGGTTAGCATACATGTATATGTCAGAGCTGTTTATGTTAGAGGAGGTTGTATTGACATGATGCGTGGGTTCAGGTGGTATTTACATTAGGATTGTCTAAGGTACATTTATTTGTTTATTTGTATTATTATTTTTATTTATTTTAGGATTGTGTGGTTGTGGATTGACGGGGCTGTGTGGGTACAGGTACTAAATTATGACTTTAGTTCAGGAGAACACATCATAGGCCAGGATGTATTGTATTTCTCTGGCTATCATTAAGAACCACTCATTGAATCCCGTCTGGTGGGCTTTCTCTTTGGGATCTTGCATATGAGCCAGGAGCAAGACATCTCTTATGTGAGACTTAAACCGTCTTAACCCTCAATTTCTAGTATGGATCCAAGAAGAGGAACTGGAACCCGTCCTCAAATTGCACTGTGTATGAAGAGGTAAGATCCTGGAGCTCTCCTTCACAGTCAGTTTACTGTCTGTGGACTCCCAGGATTCAGTCAAGAGGATATACATCCATATAGCCCTGGGGTTGCTGGGATTTTAGGGATCCTGCAGGAAGATACTGAGGTTCCAGAAGACTGACTGGTCTAATTCAAGGTCGTATCATGTGTTCAAAGTCTGGGAGGCTTGGGTTCTAAACTAGGGCTGTCTCCAAGCTAGTTCACTGACTATGTGTTAATGTTAATGGATGTATGTGGGGCATACTAAGGAGGATCAAAGAGTGGAAAATAAATTCCAAACTGTCTCCTAAAATTAGGAAGTTATTGGGAAGGATTTCAGAATGTGGGTGATCTTAGACTTTTGCAGAAGACATTGTTCAAAAGTGACATTGAGTCTGGTAGCTAACTGATGCCCATTAAGTCTACAAGGAAGGAGGGAAGTGAGACGTAACATTTACTAGGGTTTTTTCCTAAGCTATAAGGCAAATTGCCAGTGCCTGTGTGTAAACTACCTCATTTAATCTTCACAAAATGCTTTAAGGTAGGCATGGTGTAGCCATACCCTTAGTTTGTTCTTCTCAGTGCTAGGGATAGAACCTAGGGCCTTGGGTGTACAAAATAAGTACTCTACCACTGAGTTATAGTCCACATCCTTGCTTGCAGTTTATATCCAGAGAAATTAAGGTACAGAGAACACCCTAAGTATTAGCCTCAGAAACAAAACACCCGGGTCTGATAGAAATGTTGTTGTTAGTCACAAGGAAAAGGCTATGTGGTTGCCTATGGAGATTGCTAGCTCTTTAGTAGTAGCCGAACCATATACCCAACTTGACAGGCCAGAGTTGCAGAGGTGACTGTATGGGCCAAGGCAAGCTGGGGGGCCACAAAGAAGCATGGAATAGTTTAAAAAAAAAAAAACGCTCCGGAAATGAGTGGGAGAATGGATTCAAGTTCTGCCTTCACCCACACTAATCACTGGCCTCAAGGAATGTGTTATATATACCACTCTGATTTTTTTTTTTTTTAAATAAGTCTGAAATGTGGGGATAGTAGAAGATCACACCCTACAAGATTATTTTAAGGATAGTCCAGAGTGAATGTTTGAAATATCTCTTTTTTCTTTGCAGGTTGGAAAACAATACCTCAAAGCCCAAAACCCTGCTAGACTGAGCCGCAGAGAGCTAGAGAACTTTGATATTTATTCCTAGGTATTGCAAGTGTTTTCATCCTGTGTTATGAATCAGCATTGGCTTTAGAAGGGAACACAGCAGATGATGATGTCATATGAGTCTGGAACAGCTCCTAGGCTGAGAGGATTTAGAAGTTTATTCATGCTTTATATTTTATTTTATCTTATTATTTCTTAAAAGAATTAGACAAGATCTGACTTAGTAGCCAAGGATGACCTTAAACTTTTGACCTCTCTGCCTATACTTCCCAAATTCTGGGATCACAGAGGCATATACCACCATATATGGCCCCAAAACAATTTTTTTAACAGTTACTGTAAGATCCAGCTTGTTAAAAATCTTCCAATCTTACAGACCAGACAAGAACAGTTAGAGAGGTTGTGTTGGCCATGCTCTGAGACGTTGTAATCCATACGGTGCTGTAGAAATGTGCAGTAGAGGGAGATTCCCTTCTATAGCTCTCTAAGCTTTTATCCCCTACCCTGACTCCATTAATATGGGATGCTTGCTCAGGAAATCAAGTATGAACTAAGAGAACTTACTCAGAAGCTCCAACAAGGGGCTCAATTCAGACTTTAGTTCTTTTTTTCTTGCCTCTGCTGGGATTAAAGGCATGCACCACTCATGCCTGGCTTGGAGTCTTGTTCTTCAAGAGTCTCACCCTGCACTTATAACAGGAGTTTGACATGGAAATTTGCAGACCCAGTGCTGAAGAAGTAGCTGAGAGCTCTACACTCAGATCTACAGGCAGCAGGAAGAGGAAGAGGAAGCCACTGAGCCTGGCTGGGCTTTTGAAACCTTAAAGCCCATCCCTCAGTGACACATTTCCTCCAACAAGGCCACACCTTCTAATCCTTCTCAAGAACCACTCCCTGATAACTAAGTATTCAAGTATATGAGCCTGTGGGGACATTATTAGTCAAACCACATTCCACTCACTAGCCCCCACAGGCTTATAGACTCATTATAATGCAAAATGCATTTAGTTCAACCTTAGAAGTCCCCATAATCTATCACCTTCTCAACACTGTTTAAAAGTTCAAAGTCTCTTCTGAGACTTAGGATGGTCTCTTAACTGTAACCCTCTGTAAAGTCAAAACCAAAAAGGAAATCACATACTTTCAACACACAATGGCACAGAATATACATAACTATTCCAAAAGGGAGGAAAGGGACCACAGTGAGGAAATACTTGAGCAAAACAAGGATGAAACCAGCATAGTAGACTCCAAATTCTATACTTCCACGTTTGATGTCAAAGTGCCCTTTGGATCTCCAACTCCTTTCAGCTTTGTTGACTACAACATACTTTTCTCACTTGGACTGGTTCCACACCCAGTCTGCAGCTCTTCTTGCAGGTATCTTGTGGCTCTGGCATCACCAACACCATGTGGTCTTCCAAGACAATCCAGGCTTCACATTCACAGCTTTGTGTCCTCCATGTAGGGACACCCTGACACACAGGCCTCAGTAGCTTTTCTTAGCTACAGTGGGAGATTCTTCCCTTCTGAAACATCCTAGGCTGGATCCTCACACTTCATATCACCCTACTAATATGGCCCATTATGTTCCCGATTAAAGCATCCAATTGTTTTTCTAGTTCAAAGTCCCAAAGTCTTCCATAGTCCTCAAACAAATAGCATAGTCAGGCCTGTCACAGCAATACCTCACTCCCTGGGGCCATCTTCTCTCTTAGTCAGTGTTCTATTGCTCTGAAGAGACACCATGGCCAAAGTAACACATAAAAGAAAGCATTTAATTGGGGCTTGCCTACAGTTTCAGAGGTTAATAAAGTATCTTGAATTTCAGAGGCTTAACTGAGTGATCCTAATCTCTTCCCTGAGCTGGAAGGAAAAGGGCAAATATTTATGTAATAATTTAGATAGAAGAGGTTAGGTTCCAATTAGATTCTCCTAGGTCTGAGGGTTCTAATAACCTCTAGAGAGAAGATGAAACCTGAATTGATGTTGGTGGGGGAGGAAGAGGGGATAGGAGTCAAGACGTTGTTGTGTGTTAGAAAATGATTAAAATAGGTCTGAGAGGTTCTTGACCCAAATTCTGAAGACAGGTGATGAATTCTGGAAGGAATGTAGCAGAGAAAATGCAATGGTTTCTACTTACTGGAGGTTAGGGTGGTAGACCTGCATGTGGTGCCTTGTAGCTATTTTAAATGTCGGAGCAAAGACCCATTAATATTCATGTCTTTAAGTTTGAACAGCTTTGACCCAAAGAACTAAGCTGGAGAGGAAAGCAGCTCTGATTGCAAATTACACAGATTTGTTCCTAAGGCCGACACTGAAACTCATAAGCATTAAACATTGGGCTTAAAGTCAGGAGGAGACATGATGAGCTAACAGGTGTTGTATATCTGAACAGGTGTTTACTGAGTCCATTCTATCTTCTGCTTCTTGATCCTCTGCCTTGACAAGGTCTTGCTGTATAGCTCAGTTGGCCTAGAACTGGGAATTCTCCTGTTTCAACCACCTAAGAGTATGTCACCATACCTGGAAGTGAATGACTTTTAAAGCCCAGTTCAATGTTCAGGAAGTCTTACCTACTCTATCCCTTGGAGTAGTGACAGCTGCTCTATTCCCCAGTGTAGTGACAGCTGCTCTATCCTACAGTGCAGTGACACCTACTCTATTCCCCAGTGACTTTGACACCTACTCTCTTCTCTAGCAGAGTGGCACTTACTCTGTTCCCTCAGTGCAGTGACATCTGTTCTATCCCCAGTGTAGTGACAGCTGTTTTATCCCTCAGTGAACCAACAGCTGCTTTATTTCTCAGCAGTGGCATCTGCTGCTCCTAGCATCTGAAAAACACTTGGAATTTCACAAACTATTAACAAGGTGTGTAGTGTTCCTTCCTCCTCCTTCTCCCACTGATAGATTCAACTCTAACATCCTCTATCACATGAAAGATAATATGACAAATCCTCAGGGTCAGGGTGCTGCCACAAATACATCTGAATCCTCATAGTGCCCAACCCAATTATGAGTGAATAAAACTTTTTTTTTTTTTTTTGAGACAGGTTTTCTCTGTGTAGACCAGGCTGGCCCCAAACTCAAGACATCTGCCTGCCTCTGCCCTGAGTGCTGGGACTAAAGGTGTGCAACACCACTACCTGGCTAAAAGAGGCATTTAATAAAAATTACTGATCAAATCATTAATTACGTATGAGTTGCATATTTGAAAAGTTTTAGAGGTTAAATAATTCTTATTGAGTGTTTACAGAAGGTAGGTGAAGTTGGGGATAGATCCAAAACTGAAAGTATTAAGAGTATTCAATGGAAATGAGAATGAGACCCTCAGAGCAAGAATAATTGTTGGGTTATATTTAAGAAAAAAAAACTTCTTAAGGCCCCTGATCCTGCTGCTCCTGTCTCCGGTCCCCTTTGAGAGCACCCTTGGAGCTCTGATACACCCCCACCCATCCCAACCTCCAGCCTACCCCCCCCACCCTGTGCCCTACCCCACCTACGGTCCTGCCGCGCTGGTTGAGCACTGGGACAGAGGGTGGAGCCAACAGTCCACCCTACTTCGGAGACCTCTCGGAGCAACTCCGAACAAAGGAGACCTGACTATCCACGTGGGACCACCTGTAATTTCCACCGGCTTGGTCCCTGACCCCGCCTCCAGTCCTCTGCTGGAGTCCCAGGCCCCCTCCCAGAGATCCGCCTATCTCTGCGGGTCCACTTGGAGTTCCTGCAGGCAAGATCCTTGACCCCCAAATCCGGGCCCCTGCAAAAGAACGAGGTCTCAGCTGGAGAGCGCCAGTTTCCAGTGAGATCCCACTACCCTGCAAAACCTTCTCAAGTTCCAGCCCAGCCCTCGTCCTCTTCTGCCGGCTATTGGCCAGAGGTGAGTCTGGGCCCAATCGGGGCTGCCTGTCCCCTTCAACCTCTTCTACCCCCCCTCCCCCCGCCTGAACTCCCTGGATTGGCCCCTGATCCTGCTGCTCCTGTCTCCGGTCCCCTTTGAGAGCACCCTTGGAGCTCTGATACACCCCCACCCATCCCAACCTCCAGCCTACCCCCCCCCCACCCTGTGCCCTACCCCACCTACGGTCCTGCCGCTCTGGTTGAGCACTGGGACAGAGGGTGGAGCCAACAGTCCACCCTACTTCGGAGACCTCTCGGAGCAACTCCGAACAAAGGAGACCTGACTATCCACGTGGGACCACCTGTAATTTCCACCGGCTTGGTCCCTGACCCCGCCTCCAGTCCTCTGCTGGAGTCCCAGGCCCCTCCCAGAGATCCGCCTATCTCTGCGGGTCCACTTGGAGTTCCTGCAGGCAAGATCCTTGACCCCCAAATCCGGGCCCTGCCAAAGAACGAGGTCTCAGCTGGAGAGCGCCAGTTTCCAGTGAGATCCCACTACCCTGCAAAACCTTCTCAAGTTCCAGTCCAGCCCTCGTCCTCTTCTCCCGGCTATTGGCCAGAGAGAAGCCTCCTAGAGAGCTTGGACCACACAGAGATACAGACATTGAATCTTTGATCCACATAAGCCCATCTGGGAAGGACCATAGAGAGAGGGAAGAGACACCACCAACACCTACAGGAAGAAACTATGGGAAGAAGGCAATACAAGAGAACACCTAACAACAGAAAGACAAACATGACACCACCAGAATCTAGGGAATCTACACCAACTAGAATGGAACACAACAACAAAGCAGAGGAAGCAGAAGGGTATGACTTAAAAATCACCATCATAAAAATGATAGAGGCCCCCAAAGAAGATATGAGAAAAACCCAAAAAAAAAAAAAAAAAAAAAAAAAAAAAAAAAAAAAAAAAAAAAACAAAATCCAAAAAAAAAAAAAAAAAAAAAAAAAAAAAAAAAAAATTAACGAAAAAAAAAAGGGGTTCAAGATTTGAAAACCGAAATTGAGAAAATAAAGGCAACACAAATGGAAGGAAAGCTGGAAATTGAAAAGCTGGGCAAAAAATCGGAAACCACGGACACAAGCATAACCAATAGAATTCAAGAGATGGAAGAGAGAATCTCAGGCGCAGAAGATAAACTAGAAGAAATAGATTCATCGACCAAAGAAAACCATAAATCCAACAAATCCTTAACACACAATATCCAGGAAATGTGGGACACCATGAAAAGGCCAAACCTAAGAATAATAGGCATAGAGGAAGGTGAGGAAGCCCAGCTCAAAGGTGCTGAAAACATATTCAACAAAATCATCGAGGAAAACTTTCCAAATCTGAAGAAGGACATGCCCATGAAAGTACAAGAAGCATACCGAACCCCAAATAGGCTGGACCAAAGAAAAAAGACCCCTCGACATATAATAATCAAAACACCTAGCATACAGAATAAAGAAAAAATATTAAGAGCAGCGAAGGAAAAAGGACAGGTAACATATAAAGGCAGACCTATCAAAATTACACCTGACTTCTCCATGGAAACCCTCAAGGCCAGAAGGTCCTGGATAGATGTTCTAAAAGTATTAAGAGAACACGGATGCCAGCCTAGGCTACTATATCCAGCAAAACTCTCAGTCAATATAGATGGAGAGAACAAGATATTCAATGACAAAACCAGATTTTCCCAATATGTATCTACAAATCCAGCCCTACAGAAAGTATTGGAAGGAAAATTCCAACCCAAGG